TAATGGGGTATTAAGCTTTTTTAATTATTTAGGAGTATTTTATGTACAATTATTTGAAAGCACTCAATCAGGTTTCAGATTTTTTTTTTGTTTCTGCATATGATTTGACTGACTGCCTCATGCTTGAAGAGTAGCTTTCTAGAAGAAATGAATTACTTATCATATAAACCTTACAGCTGGATCAACAAGATTTGTATCGCAGCAGTAGAGGTCAGCTGTCCTCTTTGACTTCTTTACTCTTCCATGAAAACAGAGTTCACAATTTTAATATCGCATTTATTGTTTTTGCTGTATTCTCTATTAAGTGAATTTACATAAAGATCATGTAAATATTGTACAAGCCCAGGATAGGATTGCATATCCTAGGTCACACAGACCTCATAGTACCTATTCTGCAGTTTTCTTCATTGGTTGCATTGAGTTGGCATGAGAAGGAGGATGTAATTCAGCAAAGAGCAAGGATAGTAAGATCTGTAAGGATGGGATCAAAGTCTTGCAGCTCTAAATAACAGAAAAATGGAAATTAAATTTATATTATCTATGGTTACACTGCCATCTACTGACACAAAGAGTTAATGTCTGCTTTCTTTATTTTGTTTTCTAAAGATTAGCATCTTCATGACACATTTGTCTAATTATGGAAACGACCGTTTGGGGTTATACACCTTTGTGAATCTGGCCAACTTTGTTCATACCTGGACAAACCTGAGACTGCAAACTCTTCCTCCAGTTCAGCTGGCTCGCAAGTATTTTGAACTATTCCCCGAGCAAAAGGACCCTCTGTGGCAGGTAGGCAGGTTTGCTGATAAAGAGATCAGAAAAAAATTCATCTTGATGGTGTTTTTTGTGAAGTTCTTTGTTTCGGGTTCTTGTAGTGAAAAACAATAGTATTTTTAGATTCACTAGTTAGTTCCATAAGACAGCTTACTGAAGCTTCAGCATAAGCAATTGTTTTCCCTGTCACATAAATCCCCATAGCAAGATTGTGAAATTAATATGTATAATTAAAATAATCTTTAATTTGTTTTATTTGTTACTTTACTTGCTTTTACAAATGTAGGAATTGTTCTTTTTGGACACACTCAGAGACAGTTCAACCAATTCAGTGGAAGGTCTGAGTGCTGTAGATACATGTGTCCCTGCACGGATAACATGTATCCCAGGTGTCATCCTTTTGAGGTGACTTGGTAGAAATATTCTAAGGAGCAAGCTTTACTAAATCAAAAATGTGTTTAAGATTGCTTACTCAAATGTTGTCTAGCACTGGATATTCAATTGCCAACTTAGTATTTGAGTATGAGTTTGCAAATTTGGACTTAAATATACAGATTGAAATTCATGCTGTTACTGAATATAATATTGAACTAGGGGGAAAAAATGTCAAGAATTTTGCAGAGCATGAATTTAAAAAACGGAAATTAGCCTGTAGCCAAATGACTTCAAAAATAAAAACTACTTAGCAAAGAAATTTGTAAGTAACAGTGACTAACATATTGAATGTGATGTACTTTGTCTCTAATTCAAATGAATCTCAATAATTACTTTTTTTTTAACCTAGAAGATCGGTAATTCCCTTCATCTCAGTGCAGTGCTGCCAAACAGCTGTCAAAAAAATTGTTTGCAAGTAGCATTTCTAAAACAAATTACAAATGTAAAGCAGCACATGAAAAAACAGGATTCAATATTATGTACTGATTTGAACTGGAGGATCAGAATATACATTTGCGAATGGAAATCCTTCATTCACTATTTTAGTTTAAAAACTATAGCATGTATAGGGTGGTAGCTGTTACAGTAATGTAAAAGAAAAAGTCAGTAATTAGAGAACTCATCAGCAATTTTGAGTCTTCCTAATTTGTATGTAATTGATCAATTGATCTTGAATGATTCCCACATCTTAAGTATGTGGGATCGAATTTGTCTTTGCCATAATTCAGCTGAACATACTGACATTTCGTAGGAGAAATTACCCTGTCCTGGGGTCTGTTGGGTAGCTGGGTAACTATATATGTAGCAGTGAGTTAGAATGAAAACCACATTTTGTGAACATACTTGTCTGAAAGTGACTATTCTCAAAAAAAACCCAAAAAACCACAAACACTTAACAAATATAGTTTCTGCATCACTGGAATACTTCTTTAATATATAAAGTGGTTTTCTGTCATAAAGGAAAATAATAATTTCTGGTAAGAATATTTGTAGATCGGTGAAAAATTGGTATTTTATGTAAATATAGTTTAAGAACATTATCAGGTATGATTACCAGTGAAATTCTTAGTTGTTCTTCTCCATTTTAGAATCCCTGTGATGACAAACGGCACAGAGATATCTGGTCTAAAGAAAAAACCTGTGATCGATTACCAAAATTCTTGGTTGTAGGACCCCAGAAAACTGGTGAGAGTTTATTGTCTTTTAACAAGATGGGCTATGTGTAAGTTCAAATAATTATACCCATTAATTACTTTTTACTCAGAGTGATCTGTAGACATCTTGATCATCTAATAGCATTTTTTTTATTTTCAGACATCACACAAATATAATTTAATAATTTAAGTTACAACAACAAACAGTACACATTTTGAAAATACAGGGTTCAGGTGCGTGTCAGATTTTTTTGCCTTTGTGTCAAAATGAGTAACACCGATGAAGAGATCAGCAAGATTCACAAGATCCTGTCAAAGCTGAAGGAGGAAAGGACAGCAATTTTTCAAATGGTGTAGATGCTTAACTGCAAGTTCTCGTCTGTACTACAAGTGTCTTGCTTATAGAAACTTGTTATTTCATGGCATTTACTTCAAGTCAAGAAGTTCCTAATGGACAGTTTGAATTGCAAGGTTGCAGTAGTTTATAAATTAACTTAATGGTTAATCTTCTTCTCTGCAGTCAGAAAATCGGATATGTGCTTCCTTTCATCTTCACCAATCCCCAATAGTTACGGAGTACAAGACTTCTAAATTGTTTTTTGTGACAGTCTCATAAAAAAACAATAATTATTTTTAAAACACAGGTTTTAAAAGTGTGAAAAAATTGTTTCGGCATTGGCACTTCAGTTTATGTTACAGTTCTTTAAATGTCTTCATTTTAAAAGCACAGCATGCACAGATTCTTAGGTGACATAAATCAGCGTCCCCTCACCGAAGTGAAATGGAATAAAGCTGGTTTAGTCCATCTGCCAGCATGACCCCCCAAAAAAGTGTATGTATTTTTTTTTTAATCTTTAACTTTTCTCCTATTTGCAGGTACCACAGCCTTATATTTGTTCCTGATCATGCATCCTTCCATCATTAGTAACTCCCCCAGCCCAAAAACCTTTGAGGAGGTACAGTTCTTTAATAGAAATAACTACCACAGGGGGATTGATTGGTAAGATGGGTTATTAGTATAAATATAAAAGTTTCTATATTGTGAAAAAATAGAAAAATTACATTACTGTTGGTAACGTTAAATGTTTTTATAGAGAGTGCAATAAAAAAATAACCAGTATTCTTCTAAAATGATAAATAAATGGAAGTGGATAATAATCTTACTACAGAATGTCATAAATGCACTATTGTGAGGCTTTGTTTTGAAATCCAAATATTAATATATGCAAAAGGGTAACAAAAGAAGTATTTTTTACTATACATGCCTCTGAAGTTGGGACAGTAATGGTTGTTAGTTGGATATATGGAGGCAAAAATCATGTTCCTGTTAAAAAGCTTTTTTCGTAAGAAAAGTAAAGGTAATATCAGAGAGAGGCAATTTTCCCTTTAAATAGGATTTAGAAGGGGCAATCAGGTATAGAGGGCGACAGAGAAAGCCTCTCAATTTTTATTTTTCAAAGATCAGGTGTTTAGGAGAACATTAGTGTCTCTGTAGAGGTAGTAAGTGGTGTTAAAAAAGAGTAGGTATCACTGCTGCCATGTTCACTATGGCTACTGGGGAATCACTGGACATACCTACATTCTTGATTTCTCTTGCTTTCAGAAAGTGCTGCAGTATAAAATATTCTAAGATGAAAAGCAATAACATGCTGTAGTGTCTGGGGACCACTAGTCAAGGATAATTGATATTTTGTCTTTTTTTTTTTCTCCTCAGTTTAAGGGAAAATAGCTGTATTGTCTTTGACTTTGTATTAATCCATAAAATGAAGAGAGTGAACACTGTTATAAAGCCTTAGTGCAGATATGTCAGATCCAATTTCTTTTGAAGTCACTCAGTTTTTACAGAGTTATAATTGTTGAAGCAGATTCTTATTACAAAGTGTGGTGAGTCAGCCAGTTATTACCAATAGAGAGACACCAGCTGAATAACTGGAAATTAGAGAGCTGACTCCTTGCTGTTATTACGACTTTTCAAGTCAGAGATGACGTGCAAGTAAGGCATAGCAGATCCACAGTGATGGAGACAGCCTAAGTATAGTGAGTCAGTTCTTCCACAAAATCAATGTTTCCATGTTGCTAGAAGACCACTTTGCTGCTTCTCTCGTTTCCTCCTGCCGTATCCACTTCCCTGACATGCAGATACAATATGTCCGCTAGACATGCTGAATTACCTTAATTTTAACACAGTGGTCAGCGTGTATAGACCAGGTGCATCCTTTCGTCAGGTTCTCACTCTACAGCACCCATTCAGCTATTGGTACCACTGCGCTACATGCCCCACTTGCCTCTGACAGGTTCTCCCAGTTGTTTTAGATACTCAGAACTACTTGTTGGTATATTTGTTTAACTTAGATTTGCATTGTCTGCCAGACAAATCTCTCAGACCTTCAGGCTGATAGGGTATTTTAATGCTGGCATGTAATGAGCTTACCAAATGTTAATTAGATACAAGGTCTCTCCTCATTAGTCCATTAATTGACTAGGATTCTTTCAAGGCAAGAGTATTCACAACTAACGATCAGTTTAATTTCTTTTGTGGTTACGGAGGTATAGCTTTTTCTGAGAGCTGATTCTGACTTAGTTTGTCCAAGCTTACAGTTAGACCAAGGCTAACTACAGAGGCAGGAAAGGGTTCTTTCACCTGTTAGGACCTCAGCAACGTCAGCATTGCCAGCTTGAAAGGGGTATAGATGTATATGGCAGGAGTTTAATAATTGTCTCATGAATGAGGTACTGAGTTCTGCGATTCTGAGAGGCAGAAATAATAACGAGCCTAAACTTTATAACCTCTTGATATCCCACCTGGTCTGATCTCTTTACCATTTTGCACTGACACCGCATCAACTTCTAATTTTTTCCAAATTTGGCATGTTATTTGAAGCATCAATTAACTTTTTTTCCAAAATTCGGTGTAGTACCATATTTAATGTTGTGTTTCCTTACAAGGTTGAAGTCCTCACTGCCTTGTATTTTACTCAGTCTACTACCAGGACTTCAGTACAACAGCATAATGACACCATACGTGATACAGAGCAGACCTGCCTTTAGTGCCTATTGCCTCTTTCAAAGCTGGCCTTTTACTTTGCTTTTGATGTTCTGGTAAAACGTTCTGAGGTCACACAGTCAGGTTGGGTCATTAGTTTCTAATAATTTCATTTGTGAGTGGAAATTGGTATAGCTTCATCATTTTCATCAAATCAGCCCTAATATTTTTGGGAAATAGAGTCTGTTGTTTGCTCAGTGAAACAGTTTCATGTTCTCAGATATTTGCATTAGCATTAGGCAGATATAAACTAGCAGGGCAGTGACAGCCTTTCATACTGTGCTGTGTGGTTGTCCTCATAGTTCAGCTTTTTTACATACCATCTGCATGTGAGACTAGCAGTAGCTATGCAGATTTGTAGCAGAAAAAAGTGACTTATAGACCAATAAGTGAAAGACACTGTAACTGCTTAGAAACCTTTTACCTGATGAAGCTGGGGATGGGGCGGGGGGGGGTGGTTCAGTGCATCTTCCCCACATTAACAATCTCTTTTTTTAGTAAAAACAATTCTGATAATTAATATCTTTTCTTACAGTATCACACTGTAATTGACGTCAGCAAAAGATCAAATTTGGAAAACTCATTTTCTACTTTTGACTTTGATAGGAGTTTGCTATGACTAAAAAGTGAGAATTCACTCTTTTTTGGCAGATACATGAATATTGTAACATTTTCATCCAGTTACCAAAAAATAGCTGTAATGTCTAGTTATATGTAGTGAGAAGAAAGCTAATACCAAGTAAAATGTGATCAAAAATATCATGTAAACTTCTGTTTGCTTTTATTTGGCAATTAGGCTATTATTTGAATTGATTATTCTAGAATAAAATATTCTTAACAGATTTGTCAACCTTTCTGTGACTTTTAAGTAATTCTGAGAGTGATGTTGCTTTCCTAGGTACATGGATTTCTTCCCCACTCCTTCCAATGTCACCACCGACTTCCTCTTTGAGAAAAGTGCCAACTATTTCCATTCTGAGGAAGCCCCTAAACGAGCTGCTTCCCTCATCCCCAAGGCCAAGATCATCACCATCCTCATTGATCCATCTGATCGAGCGTATTCCTGGTATCAGGTATGCACTTTAAAGAACACAGGCAGGCGCAAATGAAGCTTTCCACTTTGAATACTCCCTGTATATCCTTTCAGTAAATATATACATAAAGGTTTTGGATAATACAAGCTTTCATTGGTCAGTCGGTCCACCATATATGACCACCCATGGGCTGGGGTATCCATCAATGTAAACCTGAAAATCTTTCAAAGGTTAAAATACCAGAAGCTACATTTTCAAAAGTCTACCTGTAATATAAGCATGTAAAAATGCTCATTTACTTGACTAATTTATGTTATCAGCACATACAAAAATTAGTTTATCACAGTTATCTAGTTCATGCTCAAAATACAAGGTAGATTAAGAAATGTTTGTTCTTTTGGTCCACAGATTTCAACAGGAATTTGTCAAAATAAAGATATCTTTAAAAAAAAAAAAAATAAAAATTACAAAGAGAATAAACTTCTGGGATATATTTTGTATTACTTTATGGTGAGAAGTAATCACAGCCCTGACTCTGATGCCATAGCTTACCCTGCTTTGGAAAAGAGGCTTGGAGGAATTTGGCAAAATAAAGATATCTTTAAAAAAAAATAAAATAAAAATTACAAAGAGAATAAAGTTTTTAGAACTTCTGGGATATATTTTGTATTACTTTATGGTGAGAAGTAATCACAGCCCTGACTCTGATGCCATAGCTTACCCTGCTTTGGAAAAGAGGCTTGGCTAGAAACCTGCTGAGATCCCTTCTGAGCTGAATTACCCAATGATCCTCTTAAATACCAGTGTTCAAATTTGCCTTTTCTGCATGTAAGCTGGAAAAAGAAAATATGAAATTAATAGGAACAGAGTTTCTTACCGTTTGTGTTTATTATGCCAGATTCATTTGTATAAAACCTGACATGCATTTTATTGAAAATAAATATTTATACATTCCATTTTGTTATTGGTAGTATTAGTCTATCTTTTTATTTATTTTGATATAAAGAATATTTTTTGATACAAACAATGTTTATTCCAGCATTTTCAACAAATTAATACAGATGAGGACTTCTTAACTTTAAGTAACTTGCAATGTAAATAATCACTCATGGCAAGGTCAGTAAGGCCAGGTCAGTAAGACCAACCCGTTTTGTCTTACTTTCCCAACTTTTCTGGTCTGTAAAGTTCCAGCAATGTAATTTATTTTACAGCATCAACGATCACATGAAGATCCTGCAGCTCTAAAATTCAGCTTCTATCAGGTGATCACAGCTGGACCTCGAGCCCCATCTGATCTTAGAGCTCTCCAAAAGAGATGCCTAGCACCCGGATGGTATGCTATCCATATTGAAAGATGGCTAACTTACTTCCCACCTTATCAGGTGAATAAAACTGTAACTTGACATCCTAATATTTTGTGTATAAAATATCCTAAAATATTACCTTCGTAAAAGTCTTGCCTACTGAATACTCATCCTCAGTACTATCCTTTATATACTAGAGCATGTTTTAAGACATTGATTGTGATTATTTATAGCCATGTTCTAAGTAGTTGGTTGACACTGCTAGGGATGTCATGTCTTAGCACCTTACAGCTGAGAGCTGCTTCTGCAAAACAAATCACAACAATCATTTAGAAGCCCAAAAGCAGCAGCCAGGCTCTTCTCTGTGACATCCAGTGATAGGACAAGGGGCAATGGGTTCAAGCTGGAACATAGGAGGTTCCACTTGAATATGAGAAAAAACTTCTTCACGGTGAGGGTGACAGAGCACTGGAACAGGCTGCCCAGAGAGGTTGTGGAGTCTCCTTCTCTGGAGACATTCAAAGCCCGCCTGGATGCGTTCCTGTGTGATCTGATCTAGGTGTTCCTGCTCCGGCAGGGGGATTGGACTAGATGATCTTTCGAGGTCCCTTCTAATCTCTAAACATTCTGTGATATAACATACAATTTGTTAGCCTCCTTCTGGTCCTGTGTAAGGTCAAGCCTCAAAAGATGCACATCCTAAGCCCTGAACATCATCTGATATACAAAACCTAGGCAGAGAGTATCAGATGATCAGTATCTCCTTGGTAGATTTATTTCTGGAATGGATTTTTCTGACATTAGCAGTGTGTCTGGCACTACTCCCCACCCAACATTTAAAGATTAATTTAGTTGAGGGAGGTTGGCTGCAGTCTGAACCTTCTGTTTATCCCGGACTCACTTAGCTAAGGCAAGCTGGCTGGAGTCTGTACCTTCTGTTTTCCCAGAGTGTGCCAAGGAAGCTCTGATGCATCCAGACTCCTGTTTATCCCGGACTCGCTTAGCTAAGGCAAGCTGGCTGGAGTCTGCACCTTCTGTTTTCCCATAGTGTGCCAAGGAAGCTCTGATGCATCCAGTTGGTTTTATTCTCCACATATTCTCTTTTGGGACAGCCTTGCAGACTTCATGAAATTCACAATACTGTATTATCATGATACTCATATGAAATTCATTATATTTTCATTAGCTTTTCTCCAAAAGTAATCCATGAATATTCAACAATATGTATTATCATACAGATTTTTGCCTGATTTTACATCCTACAGCCATGGCGAGGAACTAGATGTGGTAGCCTTGTGTTTCTCTGTACAAGTATGAGGGATTCACTTGCATTGCAAAAGCAGCAGTGTACAGCAGACCATATCCAAACTCACCAGCAAGTTCAAGGAACTGCTGAAGCATAAAACAGTTACATTAGGAAGACCTAAACTCAGCTCAGCTTAAAATATAGCCTTAGCTAAAAAAAATTAGAGCCTTCTTTCTCCAAATGAGCTCTGTCTAACCCAGAGTATATAAGGCTATCTATAGTTTTTAATTTTCTATAAATTGTAGAGTGTCTACATGTGTGACTGAGTTGCAGTCTTGATGTCCATTATGAAGCCAGCAGGCATACAGTAAGTGTAAGTAGCAACAGGGACAGGTAAAATTCCCCTTTTCATTAGAAAAGTGGTAACAGCACACTTGTCTTACATGGTAAGAATTTCAAATCTTGGACTACTTTGCAGATTTGGGGTTCAGATGTTTAGAATTTTGATATACTTAATTTATTATCTCATGAGTCATACAAAAAGGCCTATTTTGTCTGGTTACCAAGACAGATCTCTAAAAGTACAGGAAGCTCATGTCTCTAAGGTAATTTCCCACCTACACCTCATTGCTACAATGCAGTCATGCAGAAGAAAAGAGGACCTACCATGATGAACTCCCTCATGAGCCAAAAGATATGCTGATGTGCCAGCTCTATAGGAAATAAAGTGATTTTTTTTGTCACAGGTGTCATTAAATGGCCTGTCTGAAGCTGAAGAACTCAGGTGGTTTCTAAGCTGTTCTCTTCTCCAAACTCTCTCTCTTGCTCTTCTCCCACCGTGGTGACTTTTAGACATGCAGTAACTCACGTATAGTGGAAAAGCAAGGACTGAAGCAATCTCTTCAGCTGTCAGCAATATTGCAGTAAGATGATCAATACACTGCAAAGTGACTCAAAATACTTAATCTGTAGTATTTTCATTACATATAAAACTATCTGCTTTGTAAAAATAACACTCTTTAATTTCTCTGCCTCATGAATACATGAAATGCCTTAGATTTTGAGGAATTTCATGAAATCACATCTTCATGAGATTAGAATATGAATAAATCAGTACAAGTAAGGAAAAATTTTGGCTCAGTTCCTTACAACCTCCCAGAAAGTTGAGGGGGAGCATTTTTTGTTATTTGCTCCCTGGGAATGTCAGAGATTCGAATGAATTTCCACTGGTGAAACTCCCTCTTTTATGTCTTTTTGGGGGTGGCAGAAGTGGTGATGGCACAGATATTTCTCTTTAAATGTTTTTTCAATAGTGAAGAGAAAGACCTCAATTCTTTCAGATGGAAATATCCCCCATTTGGGAGGTTTTTTGACATCGGTGCTATGAAGTCATTAAGGCCTGTTCTCAAAGCTTATGTCTTAGGAAAGCAGTGGGTTTGTTTTTGGATTCAGGCAGTCATCATGCATCTAATTGCAAAGATTTCTGGGATGAGCTACTGCTTTCTGAACAGCCTGATGCTTCCACTAATCTGCATCTCTAAATCACATTCTATTTATGGGTAATTCCAAAGACCAATCTTTGAAAAGAAAAGACATTTTCTCCATTTTGATTACACTCTGAAACCTCACAGTCTTGCAAACCTCTAAGTTTCACCCAATCCTGGAAGCAATTCATATGATTTTACTCTCTCTGCTTGCGCAGAAATATAACAACAAGCTTCAGTTCTGCTTTAAGAAAGAAATGTTTGAACCATCTGCAAATCTATTTCCCCCCTCCTTTTCATCACTAAAGCATGATGGAAAAAGTAGAGGTTTTCCCAAGGCAGGAAGTCAATACTTAACTAATCCATTTGGGACCTGGTTTCTCTTCCAGCAGTCACAAAGACCCAAACTTGCTGCACCATTGGTGGGTCATTTTGGCTTGATACCACATTTCAAATTTTCAGGTAGTCTCTGTTTCCCTAAAGATTCACCTCCAGGTAAAAGAGGCCCACTCTAAAGTAGCCTACTGTGAGTGTGTATATGGACAAGCACGAAAAGAAGAAAAAGAAATTCCCTACCATTACCTGGCTTTCTTACAGATGTACTGCACATTCTGTATCTATCTGCGTCCTTGCCTTAAGGTCCTTGTAGCATTTGCCTTTATTAATATTCTCAAAAAAGTTTTTTTTCATACAATTATGTATTGTTGTATGGGTCTAGAAGTAACACATTTCACTTAACATCTGCCTAATGGTTTCTGGCTTTTTGACTATTTCCAGTGATAAGCTCTTCAACATTACTGTAACATATATATATATATATATGTGTGTGTGCTTATGAGAATTATAGGTTATTTCTCTAGACATTATTACCTTTTTTTCTTGTCTGGACAAGTCTCATTCAATTTCCTGACAATATTTCTTACCTTGCTAGGTCCTTCACTGCTATTTCTCTGTTGTCACAACATCTTCCAATTTAATATCATTTCAGATCTAATTAACATGCCATTTACACTGCTCCCAGCTCATTAATGATGATGACAAATACAACTGGACCAATTATCTGGGGCAGCTCTCTCCAGATAGTGAATGATTTTGACAGAGCTGGGAGTTTCAGTTTGAAGCTCAAAATAATAAATTTTCAATTAAACTTTCATTTATTTTATTTGTTGTAGTTGCTAATTATTGATGGACAGCAGCTGAGAACTGACCCATCTACTGTAATGGATGAAGTACAGAAATTTCTGGGAGTCTCTCCTCATTATAATTACTCTGAAGCCCTAACGTGAGTTAATTTAATCGTCATTTTCACATGTTGCTACATTCCTAAAATACTAGTTAGTCTCTAAGTAAGCTCACTGCAAAATAAAGCCTCTCATACTTCTCACTGTAATTGAGCTGTCAGGAGGTTGTATTCTTCAGTGTCTGCGAAGAACACAGTTCAGGGTTAGATTTTCTGTGAAACACACTGAGCCATTCAATGTGGAGGTTGACTGTTAAAGAAGTAGACCTCTGACAAAAGGACAAAGTAGGTATTGCTTTGTGAGAATTGCATAAGAATTTTGGATTAATAGAAAGGAATTTTATTTCCACAGGTAAATGGGAAATGGAATGCTGATATAGATAAACAGGAAGGAAAGAGAATTAGTTTCTCTTCATTTTTGACATTATCTGCAAGAAAGATTCAAGAGTGTCAGTCAGGAATGTAACATCCACTCTGTATGTCATAAATACATGTGTACACAAATCCTTGCGATTCTGACATTTAGATTTGATTGCCCTAAAAATAAGACTGGTAACCTTAGGTTTACTCTTTTGAATTTAAGGTTATTCTCTGTCCTTATAGGAGGCTCTCACAAAATAATGTTTTTATCTCCTTGACATTTCTCTGTTCAATGCTTTCATCTAGTTTTACTGTATTCCTTTTTATGGCGCAGGTAGCAAAACAGACTTTCATCTTTCATGAGATAGAATCAAGTTCATCGTAAAGACTTAACTTCAGGGATTATTTGGCCCTTTAAGTCAATTGAAAATATATTTGCTTTCTACTGAAGGCCTGATACTGAAGTATCCTTTTGCCTGGATACTGTCAATTAATCCCATCTGCTTCTAATGCTATAGCATGCATTTTCCTTCATGTCTGCCCTCAAAAACAGGTAACGTTCACAGAAATAGTGACGTGTTCCATTAAAATGCACCAAGACCAATCTGTCCCCTCAGCTGATGTCACCTTATTTACACCAGTAATTAATTTTTCCTTAAATTAATTTATTCTGGCATGTTTTCTCCAAAAGGTACATAAAATACAATTTATTTTTGCTTGTAATTACAAGATTGCAATAGAGCAATGGGAAACAAAACACAAATATTTGTGTATCCTTTCTCCAAAGAACTCAAAGTGTTTTGTAGCTTCCAATTATGTAACAGTCTGCAAGGCCATTATATTGATATTCCAATATTATATATTATGTGTATATTGGTATACCAATATACCAGATTTAGAGTGAAAGATTGGGAAGTGAACTGTAGGCTAGGTATCTTAAGATTCATTTCTACAGAGTGGACAAAGATAACTAAGAAGAAAAATTTGTTCGTGGTTGCATTGTACTGATGAAAACAAAGTAAGTCCAGCTGGAAGAAGTGCTTTCTATCTTAGCTTGCAAAAGTTCTCTAGGAGAGAAAATTAAACCAATTGCTCCAACCAATGTAGCTGTTCACTAAATAAGTTACTTCCCATTGGTACTGCCTAACTATAGTATGTCTTACACAATGAAGACAGATGTTACCTGTGTCTGTGTTGCAAGCAAAAGCCCTGCCTTTATTCTGCATGCCTGCTCTCTGTTGACTAGGTATGTATTCTCTGAAGGCATGATGTAATCCTCAAAACATGCTCCGAAATATGTAACCAAATGATACATGTCAACATGTATAGAATGCATACACTTTATTAAGTATTTTTATTATGGTTATTATATTTGATTTGATCTAATGAAGACAAACACCATATACCAGTGTCTTTGCCCATACTAAATCTTTCTGCCCCAACAGGAATCTTCAGAATAGCCTGGATCCTAATTGTACCATTAGCAGATACCCACTTCTTCAGTCTAAACTTGAGAGATGCATCTTCCTTGCAGCATCTCACGGCTTTTACATTGTAAGATTCAGTCTTTCCAGGATTAGTGGTGGCTCCTGCCTCTCTCCTTTCTTTCTTCTCTTTATTTACTTCTAGTTCACACTTTGTATCTGTAGCCAATTCTTACTACCTTCTGCCTCTTAACTCTCCTCAGCTTCTCTATTTCCCCACTTGCTTGCCACTATTTCTCCTGAAATGACAATTTACCAGAGCAAAAAAAAAAAAAGCTCTTAAGAGTATAGGAACTTACTCTATTGTGTTTCTGTGTTGAAAGGGTACAAAATATTTGTTTCAGGTTCGACTCACATAAAGGTTTCTGGTGTCAGCTCTTGGAAGAAGGAAAAACCAAGTGTCTTGGGAAGAGCAAAGGTAGAAAATACCCTCCTATGGATTCTGAGGTAAATCATTACGCTTATTGGCATTATACAGGGATTCAGTTGCCACATATGGGACAGCACACAGGCAAAATCATAAGGCAGGAGAGAAGACAAAATTAAGTAGACATTAATTATTTTACTCCCTTTCCTTACAAGTGAAACATTTAAGATAGTTGTGGAGTGCATCAACTTTTTCAGTTCTTTATTTCAAATGTGAAGAATTTAAGTCATTAAAAAAACAACTTTTAAAACTTGTCACCCCTGTAATTCACTTGGAAACCTGTCCCATTTACCCAAGTGACTTAAGCAGCAGAGGCTCCATGGTGCATGTTTTTTCTTAGTCATGATCAGATATGTGTATTTAAGTCTGATCCCTTGTCTTTGAGAGTAGTTAGACCATGACAGGTAATGCAGACTCTCATAAAATACAGTTTTAAGAGCGATTAGGTTCTGTTTCTATGAATTTTATACATGCCTTTCCCAGACAAATGCTCAAATGAAGAAATTTCCATCAGATCAAATGCTGCAGCCTGTACCCAAAGACAGTTTGTCTTCTCTTCTAGCTGTAACTTCTGTGTTTATTCTGTCCTGTGTTCCCATTTCATTTAGCTTGGCTAGAATGCAAATAAAAATTTACAGTTTGAACAGTAGTAAGTATTAATGTGGCAAATAAGCTGGGATTTTTTTTTTCTCACAGTACTTACATTATAAGTAACTTTACATCAGTAGAATCATACTGATATAAAATCATTGGGTGAGAAGGCTTTTGGCCAGAGAGAAGACAAAACTGTGTTTGTTTATTGTTGTATTTTTCAATTCTAAATACTTCTGAAAATGGGGTTATACTAATTGCTACATGCCTACATAGGAAGATATTTTAGGAGCTTTCATTTCAATCACATTCCAGTAAATACAAAGTAACTGCATCACTTCAGTGTGATTCTTAATTTAGATGAATGTCTGAGGGTAGAATCAGATCCTTTGCTTTGACTTCCATGTTAATTTTGGACAACCTTTGTTTCTCTTGAAATTATCTTTTACTGTTCAGCTCCTAACTGAAGAGCTTAAACTTGCATGCAGTAGCTAGCATAAAACCATATAAATTGCGTAAGAGAAAGTAAAGTTTTGACACAGGTAAAACAAACTTTGAAACCTAGAATTCACAGTGACTGCAGTACAGCATTTTATTAAATAAAAATATCTCATTTTGTATCCATCAGTGCAGGGCTTTTCTGTCAAGCTACTACAGAGATCACAATGTGGAACTGTCAAAACTCCTACACAAATTGGGACAACCCCTGCCATCATGGCTGAGACAGGAGCTACAGAAAGTAAGATAGCACTGAAAAAAGGCCTTTTGAAATCTCTCTTCCATGCTTCAGTCATTGTACCTAAAGTCTCCAGTGGCTACCAAGAAGGTCTTGTAAGATATACCTCTTCAAAAAAGAGTAAAAGCTAGAAATTGTTTCCATATGCTGGCATGTGGATTGTGAAAATACATGTGTTTCTTAGAGCTCTGGTGGGCCAAATCTTTCTCATAAACATTTCTGGGCACGTGGACTTGTGGACTACTGTGCACATATGTGGAAGTTATTTGCAACTGGTATAAGCTTCAGAAATACATGACCTGTCCAATTCCATGGGAAATATTTACATTTTTATGTATCAGTTTACAAGTATTATGTCTTATGTAGGTTTTGTAGCCCATGTTAGACCGCTGACAGTTTTTCTTACTATTTGATTATTGTCTTGCATAAAATAAGAAAACTTAATGTAGCACAAAATGCCAAGTGTACTTCTGCCTTTGGAATCAGCGTGCTAATACCCAAAGTGTATACTAACAAGGGTGAGGAGTACAGTTAGTATATATGATTTAGCTGTGCACAGCAACAAAATACATGAACAAAATCTGGAAGCCACAGGCAAAAGCCATGTAGAAAAAAACAACTAAACAAACAAGAAATGTGATTATAGCCTGTAACAACATACTCTTACAAGGCATTAAGGGCCTTGGTCTGTAATTACTGTGTCTGATTTTGTACTGACTGAAATGGCAAAATACAGAATGTAGCCATTATCTGAACAGAAATTTGATTAGACATGTGAAGCACAAAAGTTGCAGTATAATCCTTATGAGCAGTATTACACTTCAACAACTGGGAACCAAACTGAAGCAGTGCAGTGAGCCAGGAGTGACTCCACCAAACTGAATGAAAAGAACAGAAACAGATTCCTACTTACACTGCCTTAATTTGCACTACTAATTTTTCCTTAATTTATTTGCCTTCAATCTATGCTTTGTGTATTCCAAGATCCCTCAAGCTGACCAAAATTGTAGCATCTTTCAGTAACCTTCAATTTAGATCAGCTGCAAAAATCTATCAGATTTCCAGATGAAAATATTGGTCCTGGTTCCAGACATTTTAAACATATTTGTTGTTAAATATTAGGAATAAGCTTTAGGGTAAAAAACAAATCTGAACACAGTGTGTAATCATGGCAGAAAGTTACACTCTAATAATGGAAAAAACAAATATCCAGCCTTACATTTATGTGATACATTTCAGTGATACATCTCGCAATACACCTGTTTAGATGTGAGATAAAGTCTGATTAAAAGTACTTAAAGGTTGACAAAGAAGATAATTGAAGACTTCAGCTGAGTATGGCCTTAATGCTTCTCCCCTGAGGTTTGGCTCCGAGTGTTTCTAAAGGCATGAAGAGGTAGTGAAAACAAAAGAGAACTACAGTACTAAATGCAGTGCTTTTTATAGTAGCCCTGTAATATTATTATAATTTGTTTTAGGATGAATAGTTAAAAATGTGCATCAAATGGTGGAAAAACTTTATATGTCTCAGTGGTGTTTTACAACATTTATATAATAACATAATTTAACTTTCAAGGTAATGGAATGGAAGCCAGTCAGTTATTCCCTACATAGAAAAAAATATGTTGAGATCCTTACTGTACCTCTAACTGGTAATCTTTATTATTTATTGATTTTTGTCTATGTAATACCTGGTTCTGATAGGACTGTAAAGAAAAAATCTAGACAAATTTGCTGTATATAACAATACTCTTTACGCAGCACATTTTTGCTAAGGGAATATGCATGATTAATGATGAGGACCTACTAGAGTAGATATTTTTTAAGATGAACATTTTTATTATTTATTAGACAGAATAAGTATTTTCATTTCACTTTAAATTCTCACTGTCATATGGATTCGGCCCAAAAAGCTGACTTATCTTAAAATACTTCTTATTTGATAAAAGAAACAACCTGGATTCTGAACATCTGTAAAAGCAAATTCTTGCCATGCGATGGACAGCTCATGTGTCCTGCAAGCATCTATATGAATTTGTTACAACTGAATTGAATAACTGGGGAAAATACCTGGGGTTTTCATCCTGGCATTATTGTTTTTACCCTTGACATAACCTGATATAACATCACTCAAACATTTTTTAAAAATCTGCAGGGATTGCACGAGGCTCCCTTGTGCACTGCTGCCTCAGTTACTCCATGCTCTTCAGAGCAGCAATGGCAAAATTGAAGAAAACGGGAAAAACTTTGGACACTGTGAAGTGCCCGAAGTTTTCATGAGGACCCTCAGCACACAGATTGAGTGCCTCCTACGGGCAGGAGGAATGGGCTTCAGCCACATTCATAGCTGATCCTTCGTTTTCAAGAACTCCCTTTCTATCTTCTTTCTCTGGGAAACCAAGACCCCTGCAGAATGACCATGAGCGGGCAGTCAGGGACAGAGCAGCGATGGGGACGTGCACACTGGTCATACTGTCCCTCCAGAAATATTTGATGAGACAAGGTGACATGTCTCAGATCTGTGAGCTAATTCTGTGCAGTCCTCTCTGAGCTATGGAAGTAGCCCCCTGCGATTGTTGGTAATGAGGTAGAACAGCCCGAATGCAGTCACCGTGTGACACTGGGGGATAAGCCCCCCGCACGCACAGCCTCGGGTTTGGGTGCACTAGGCTGGGTTTGCCAGCTAAACACAAAGCTCATCTTCCAAGAAGGAGTGCCGTGGTGACTCTCAGGTCCTGATGAGGAATAGCAGGGTGGAGCTCTTGTACGTCCCAGTGCCCTTCTTAAGGGAGGAAACTGGGAACAAGATGAATGAGTTCGTAGGAAAATCTTCAGTGGATTCCTGGGGTAACTTTACCTGACTCAGTAGCATGAACAAAGTAGCTTGACATTTTGGCCCCAGAAGTGTGCACCTGAAAGGGTGTGATCTTGAATCTGCAGAAGTCAAAGCTCCTGTTGAGATGCAGCTGTTGAACACTAGCATTTTTAGAAAAGGTGCTGTGGGATTAGCTTCGAGTATGCTAGGCGGGCTAGGCTCAGGCACAAAAGCAATAGAGAGGTAAAGGCAAACTGCTGGTGCTCTTTGCAGTTCTTAACTTCTGACTTATTACTTGTTTATACAAAGATGGTATGAAGCCACTTTTTTTTTTTTCCTCCAGAACTATTTAAATATGTTCTTACATTTAACAGGATACTTTAAAAAACAGAATGACTTTTGATGTGCAGTCAACTTGGAGAAGAATGGAGTCTGAGCAAAGCACGGACACAGTAGCTAGATGTGTGACCCCCAAATCGTAGGATGCACGAGTACAGCTGAGTAAGCAAGTCACACAACATAAATTATCTGACAAAGTTTAACCTCTTCTATTCACAGCTCACCTACAATCAGTGTTTGATTTCCAGAAATAGACTATCAGTCTTAGCACTCTTAAAAAAATACTGATTCATTACAACAAATTTGTATTGCTAGTCAGAGTCAGATGGTTTATTGTGGTTGGTAACGCAGCCATGGTTTCTGTCCCCCGGTAGATAATTACACAAGCAATTTCTTTAACAAATGCTTCATGATGTGAGCTTCACATTTATTTTCATAAATATAAATATGATTTTGAAATTTGCTTTCTGCAGACATCCGTGGCATTAAAAATCAACGTGTGATTGTGAGCAGAAAGTGACCGTTGGGGGGCAGGGGTGTAAACTCAGAGCCTGATACAAATTAACTTAATTATTTGAGCAAACATTCCTGAAAATACTGTGATATTTTCCCAGTTCTACTTGTGCAAAAAAAAAAAATTAGTTTCAATGATTTGCAGAGTATCTTGTATAGAATATCCTTTTTCATTGCTTAAAAATGTGAAACTTCCTCAGGAAGAAATTAAATAGATATTTCAATGTTTATAGATGTAATACTCTTGTCATTCACATTGAATGAAAATTGCTGGAAACATTTTTCTCAAAGTTTTTTAAAATAAAAAATAGATATTATTCTGATAGTGGCATGGTATCTGAAGTGCAACAATAAACTCTGATAAGAAAATATAGTGCTGTATGGAAGTGATTTTAATGGTCACAAAAGTTGTCCTTTTCCAGGTTTGTTAGCAGCTATTGCAGCTTGACACTGATGTACAACACAATCCAGGAGCACGGGAGCAGCATGAAATGTTTTCAGAAATTAGAAATATTGCTTACTCTCTCTGTGAGTGAATATTACTGCTTTATGCAGCTGCTTGTTTTACTGCTTTTTCTTCCTGCTTACTTTTTCTTTCTTGTGCCAGAAGTTGCTAATGTGCTATAGAAACATTTCCAGAGCTTGCTATTTTTAAGATAACAAGCAGATTTTATTCAAATTATTTGCCTTGGGGATTCAATAGTTGTGCCAATGCATCAGCCTACACAGACACAAGAAAACCTTTCTTAGGAGAAACCTCTAAAGATGGTACAAATGTCCAAAGGAAAACTCACTGTTATCAACAAATTCAGAACAGAAAAGTGTACTATCTAGCTGGGCAAAAGCTGCTTAAAATCTTCACAGAGGTGTAGAGCTCAAAGGCAGAAGACACTTTTTTGTCTCTGTGGACCACATGGTAGAAGAAAGCACAATAGTTAGCACCAAAGGACAAATCCCAGGAACAGGAAGGTGATTAACAGCTGAAACAAAGGGCTAGGGAACCCTGAATGGAGGAGGAATTTAGACAAATTGAGGGTGGTAGTTTTGAAAAGCATATAGTGAGCTTCATTCTCCACCAGTCTGTTTTCTGTCAGGTTACTTCTTTTCTTTTTTAATACAGAATTTTCTTTCTCCACTTTCCTTCTGTTCCGGTCCATTCTTCCTGTTGAGACATTCAGGTGGGAAGTAAGGCTCATGTACTTTGAATTGCTCGGATGTCTCACCTGCTTAGGAGAGCTGTCCGTCTGGTAGCACAAGGTCACTATCAGATCTCTTCCAGAAGGTATGAAACAGAAGTGGCCTAGTTCAACTGCGATATAGGTGCTTGGTGCAGAATTACTAGTTC